AACTCTACACCGACGGGGGATGATGCGTTATGATTTGAGGCTCTCATTGGCATGGCTATGAAGATGATGCCTTCTATGTAACTTGGCTGAGAGGCAAAAACGTTTCGGAGGAGCTTACTGACTCCATTTTCTGCGTCGTCCCTGAAAACAGAGTTCCGCAGTTCCGCCGAAACGTTGGTACCTACACAAAATTACACGGAGTCACATCCCGTAAGACAGAAATAATAATAAATTATTTTATGAAATTATATAACTATCCAAAATGTATAACAATTTAATTTTTATGAGTTTTAATTTATTTTACTACTTATGCTTTGTTTTACTTCATAAATGTTTATTCCTGTGGCTCAGACTGAAATTCGATGAGGGATCTGCTTCTCTCTGTTGTCACATGTTTCGTCGTTCTAGGGTTGTCTTCAATACAGTCGCATACTTTATCTCAAACATGTTTTAGGGTACATCACACATTGAGCAAACAATCAGAAGGAAGAAAAGTCCCATGTGTTCAACAAAGCCCCTGGAATGACGATTTCTGTTTGCTTCCTACGCTGAAAGTAGACTCAAGTTACATGCTAATCATGAAGTAAAGACCGACAGCAGTTTCCAAAGATCGTTCGGAGACACAATGGCAAAAGACAAGTCTTTTTCTTTTTAAGGAGACGTATGGATACGAGTATATCATTTAAAGTTTTAGTTAATGGCGTGGAGAAGTTCCTAGTCTCCTGACATGCGTTATTGACTAAAATATCGTACCATATACTGCATTTGAAAATTCATAAACACGTCTTGACCTAGTAAAACGTTGACGGCAGTTACGGGAAGGCCATGGGCATACCCCAGCTTCCTTGAAACCCAGGAGGTTAGGGCAACGATAACACCCTAGGCTTATATTCGCAACGTGCTCGGTTCGAATCCCCAACACCGGCTATCAACAGATTTTTCGTGATTCTCCTCAGTTCCCAGGAAACTACCGGGTTATTACGACCGTTTCTTTAAGATCCTTTCCAATTTGTAATTCACTATCATCTACTCATCCGACGCTACAGAGCGAGATAATGACAGGGGCGTGCCGCCAGAAAGCCTCAAGGACTGGTTGAGGAGATCAGAGTTGATTTCACAGGCAACGACCAACTTTTCCGCTGCAACGCCTTCGAATCAGAATGCTAGGAATTCCTAACAGTGGAGTTTCCACCGTTACATACGAATCGCTGAAGCAGCGTTTCGATAGCTGCGGGCGGAATTAACCCTTCGACATGGTGTTCTCTGTTGAGTAAGAGTGCAGTTTATAAGACTCCAGCTTCGAAGAGACCAGTCAGTAGTAGTCAGTCTTCAGTTTGGCTTCGACTATAGCAGAAGCAGTAATTGGGATAGTTGTGAATAATTGTACTTGCGAGTGTAGAAGAGAGTGGTTAATAAACATATTCGCCAAATCCGAGACCCGCGTGAATTTACTTGTCGCGTTACCTACGAAACCCGTAACAATATTTACACAATGCAAACACGCTGGCTAGGTTTCTTCACGTCTCTTTCTGACGACGAAGGCAAGTGTGTAATTAGTACGGTAAGAATTGATGTTCCATTACAATTTCATGACAGTGCTACACGACACGACACTTGGAATCCATTATAACTTCAGATATACTCCACCTAGTACAAATACATGAAAGAGCAGGTCACAATGGCCCGCTAAAACACTGGGATCGTGGGTTCGAATTCCACTTGAGGTATGGATGTGTGTGCGCGTTTATTCTGTGTTTGTGCTGTCCTGTGTGTAGGTATCGGCCTTGCGTCCAAGGAGTCCTACCGAGTGTGTAAAAGATCAAGAAACTGAAAAGCGGCCAAGGTCCGACACAGGACTGTAGAGCCACAGACTGAGAGTATGTGGACCGTGAATGTGTCGTCAGTTGGGGACGTAAACTGTGACCTCATCATTAGGAATACTGGATACTGTTTTCAACAGCTGGTATTCATACTACAGTGGGAAATTCGAACGTACTTAGGTAGGATTTTACTTTCGCAAGGTTGCCTACACCGAGTATCAGGTACGACTGTCCGCATTTGGACGTGGACTTGAGCCCATGACTCATGAAGAACTGCGTTCAAACTGTTTACCTAAGGACACATTGTCATAGGAATCAGCCCTCTGTTACTTCAGGCTGTCAAAATACATAAGCCAGCGAGCACTCTGATATTACTGCCCGCTGTCACGACCGTGCGTTAACCACGAACCCTTAAACATGCCACAGACTACTTTATTTATTAGTCTGTAAGGTTGCAAAGTAAAGCCACACGCAGCTGTAAATCTGACAACCCTGCAACAGTTTAAAAGTGTAAATAAAGCTTTGAATTTGTTTCATTCTGACCCTCACACTAACACTGTATAAACAAAGCGTCAGTGAGCAATACTCACTAATTGAGAGGGAGATAAATGTTATTAATTTTAGGGATCATGACCGGGTCAAAGGATTGGGAGTACAAAGCACATTCCTTTGAGACAACGCCTAGTTTAGTTTGAATATAAAGTCCTTCCTGAGGTTCAGGAAAGCTAGTTGTTCATAACTGGTCTGTTCGACTGTACGTCGCTTTGCTTAATAAACCTATCCTATCTTCTACCAGACTGGACTTTGAATATTTTCAAACTTCGATTGGACTTCGCTCCACTCCACATCCTGTTCGTCAGCTGCAATTTCCTGGCACTCTGATAAAACACACAGCTACCGGCGATCTCCACGTAAATATTTGGACATACTCGTAAGAGATCTAAATTTGTTTATATGGGACGACACGACTGCACCGACCAGCTACCACTTCGTGTTGCACGTCTTACACTATAACAACATGGCAATGATGCACATTTAGTACTGAAACCTTCGGGCATTCTGTACCATAGTCCCCAATTTACTACGAACACGCAATGTTAAAGTTCGGTAGTTTGGAAACTATTGAAGACAATACGTTCCATGCTACTGCCCAGTTTGTATACTGTCAATTGGGTACAGCTTTGGCCTTCAGTCTGCTGCTGAAAGTAAACACGGAACATGGGACTGCGTAGGAGTGGGGTCGTGTTGAACAGCTCCGTCTCTCTCAACGCATGTAACCAATCTTCGTGAATGAATCTGCTAGCACAGAGAGGTCATCACTTCCGCTATACCAATGCTTAGTAGGTTTAGTACACTTATCTCTTGCAGTATAATATGGGTACTAATGGTACCCATATTGGTAACAGGTCTCTGAAGTACTTGTTCTTAGTCTTCCTTGTAAGCTCATCAGTTTTGTCTGAGATTTTCCTTCCTTCTACTCCTGAAATGCCTGCTGGTTTCACGTCTTATATTGATCAGATTATCCCCATGTATTTCGCCTGGAACCTTTGGTCTAATAATTCTGAGCATCCTGCATCGAACCATCGCTTATGCTTCTTCAGTTCATTATAACTTACAATCTCGTTGGCAGAAATGTTTATATTCTCTTTAATAGTTTCCCAAGTATTATTAACATCCACCTCAATGTCAAAGTTTTCCAAAGCCGCGAACCTATTGGAGATTTCAACACGATACTGTTCTTTACCCTCTACCTCGTTCAATTTCTTGAGATTTAATCTCTCCATATGAACTCTGTGTGCCGTTTACTCACTGTCAGTCTCACCCTAAGTTTTGCCACTCCCAGGTAGTGGTTAGTATTACAATTTTCTGCCCTGAACGATCGGACATCAAGTATACTTGAATGCCATCTCCTGTCTATCAGAGTATGGTCAGTTTGGTTGTGCGTCTTCCAGTTAAGAGATGTCCAACAAAATTTATGAATGTTACGATGTGGGAACATTGTACTTTTGACGGTAGGATTTTTGGATGTGGCAAAATTTACTACTCTAACTCCATTATCATTATTAACTTCGTGATAACGATGATATCACACCAGCGACCTCTTAGTATTATGTATGACATCCTATCACTAACAAACTCTACCTTCTTAACTGCTGATATTATCCTCTTATGTACGAAAAAAACCTGTACCTAATTCATGATTTTCTTTCCCCTTCCCATAGAAAAATGTATAGTCTCCTGCGGGTGCGATGCCACCTCCGTCCCATCCGACCTCCTGTACTGGGAATCTTCCTGCGGGTAAAGAGTGGCAAGCGCGAGACTGACAACCTCACCGTCATCTGTAGGCCGATTGTCTCTCAACCCTATGGGCCTTCACGGCCTGTTATAGGGATAGCTTTGTTTTTAGCTTTTCTTTAGACCAAGCCAGTCTAACTTGAAACCACTTTGGGCCAGCACTGTACCTCAGGTATCTACACCCCCGGGCCTTAGAGGTAAATTTGTACCTGTGTTGTATGGTTGGACGTGCAAGACAAAGTGGTAGGTGGACGGAGCAGTCTTGTCGTTCCATACAAACAAATTTAGATCTCTTGCGAGTATGTCCGAAAATTACGTGGATCGCCGGTAGTTGTGTGTTTTACCGGATTGCCAGGAATTGCATGTGACGAACAGGATGTGGAGTGGTGTGAAGTCCAATCGAAGTTAAAAGAAACTCAAAGTCCATCTGGTAGATAGGATAGGTTTATTAAGTGAATCGAACAGACGACTTACACCACTGGCTGCTCTCTGTCGACTATCCCAGTCAGGAGTTAAAAAATGTCTTGGCTCAAAGGAAGGTGGTGTGTATCCCACTCCGTTGACCCAGCCATAAGCACAAAAACTAAGAACATCTACCTCCCTCTCCTTTAGTGAGGGCTGCTCACTAAAGCTTCTTTTTTACACTGTGGAAGGGCTGTCAGGTTTATGGCTGTGCGTGATTTTACTCTGCAGCCATACCCAATACTAATAAATTATCCTGTGGCATGTTAAAAGTCGTGGCTATCGCTCGGTCTTGACAGCTAAAAATAACAGGAGGGCTTGTTGCTTTGTCCCTATGACATCCTAAAATAAGAGAGGGTTCTGTTCCTTATGACACCCCCCTCACCAAAAAAAGTTTGATGTAGATCAATTACAGCAAACCTTTTACTTCATTCTATATTCAAACAATGGGTTACTCCCTGGGTCTGGTTTGTGCAATTTTTTTCTTAATCTTTGTGCCACAGGTGAATTATCTTGTTTCCTTTGAACCTGAGCAAAAAACCCTGTTATATCTTCCTCACTAGTTGGTGCGGAAGGCAATTTCTGAAAAGTCTCATGCTTACGTATCCCAATCTTATCTAACTCAATTAAGGATTGAGTTAGTGCATGAGTTAATTCATCTTTATCCTGAATCTTTAATGTATGCACATTGGGTGCGATGATCGTATTATGGTGAGGATTATTGAATGAATTTGTAATCTTTTTACATCCATTCACGCAATCATCGTATGCACCTTTCGGATTTAGTTTTCTCCAACACCAGAAAAAGCCTTGCCGACAACCTTTACAACAATAGCAACATAAACATATACTAACCATTACAAATACCATAGTTCCAATTGAAATTCCACCAGTTACAACGTGTTTGTAATATTTGGAATAATCTACTTGTTCTTGTTTGTTTATCATCTGTTTAACATCATCCACCTTAATGCTTGCTATTCTCAAATCATCTATTGATGACATGACATTATTCAAAGGAATATCTAATTTAATTTCATCGAGCTTTCTCTTTTCATGCTCGTCAAAACAACAGTCAAAGCCCCAGTTCACTTCAGGTATAAAATCTTTCGATACATTACTAACCATTGTCAATTTTGTGGATGCATATAGTGTAACGTGCGCAGTATAAGCCTTGCACCTTGATCGGAGGGTCATTCTCCCTCTATTTTCGGCATATACATAGTGTGGGGTATTATCTTCACACAAAATTGTGACTCGTTCCGCGGAAGGAGAAGTGTAGAGCCATTGGTTGCTAAGTTGTAATGGGATCCAATAAGTATGGTACAAGGATATCAACTTTATTTCACATACTGAGTCTGGGATCTTTTGGGACGATGGATGCAACATACTGGCTTCACAATCCTCTCCTGGCACGTAGTTAGACAAAAGTATAGTATTTTTGCAAACATAAGTAATTTCATTGGTCATAAGGCATACACTCAACTCGTCATAATTCATTTTGCCGTATTGCTTTCTTGATGCATCCGTAATTATAAATTCCTTTTGGGGAGCTATAAAAATGAATTTCTCTGTTGTTTTATCCTTCATAGGAAACGGAATAGCTTTGTACAAATAAAAATTAGTGGGTAGCAATAATGGAATTTCAATGATATATACTAAATATTGTTGATATACATACGCATGCATAGTTATAATACGTGATAGTTCAGAAGTAGGAAATGTCGGAAAATCAAGACCCTGAGGCAGTGTTTGCTTTGAAACAATGCCTTTTACAGCCCTTATAGTTAATAATTGTGGCTGGAGGCTACCTTGCTCTGCGTGTACAAACGCGTCTATAAAAACTTCAAAAGAGTGCTGGCTTTCTTCCATACCTCTTATAACTATTTTAATCTGCTCATTAATCAAATTTATTTGTTCATATTTTACCTTTAACTCGCTTATTTCTTCTCCCGTACGCTTTTCAAGCAATAACATACCATTTCTCAACAATTCTTCATTCTGATCCACCTTCAGGATCGTGCTGTTAATTGAATTAATTGTAGTCTTGATAATGGTCATTTCATCATTTGCAATATGCAAAAATTTGGTTTGCTCAGCTTCCAGTTTGCTAATATAATTATTACTATTCTCAACGTCAGCATCAGTTGCTGTCCCGAACAAAAGGTGAAATCCTTTACCTACAAAATTTATCAATCCTCTCTTTTCTCTTGGGGATCTACGTTTCCTAATGGGCTTATTTGCACTTGTGTAGTCTATCAAATTTTCATTCAGCTGATCGATATATTTAGCCTTAGACTTGAAGTAAGATAAGGATGGTTTACAGTCAGTAAGATAGTACCATTCCTGTGTTTCTAACTTGTTACAATACTCTGTCACTCTTGTCTGAAAGTTCTTGGTTTGACGCCACAGCTCCCTGTGTGGTTCTAAATCTATATAACTCACAAACTTCCACTTCATCGGAAATAGACGAACCGTTCCTAGCTCATCAAAGTATATGCCACTGGCTGAAGTCAGTTGCTCCATTTCTTGACCTTGGAGTAGACTCCAGATTGCTAGAAGAGTGGTCAAGCTGATCCATCCGATAAAATGCATGCTGATCTTTTTCTGCAAAGATCAAACACAATAGGATTTTAACCTATTCATGTGCACTTTTATGTGTTTTCTCTTGCCTATTCTCTGAATAATTGCGTTGGGGTATTCTATTTCTTGAATTTCGAAGGGTCCTTCCCATAAAGGATCTAATTTATTTCTTTGTTCTTTTGATAACCATACTAAATCATTCTTTTGAAAACATGTTCCTTTTGTCTTTTCATTTTTACTCTGTTCTGACTTAGCTTTAATTAATCTTGACCTCGAAATTTGACTTGCTTCTTGTATTCGTCGTTTAATCATACTGACAACATCGTCGTAATTATATGTTGGTGATAGCCCTTTTTGCAACGCTCCTGGTAAGTTACATTTATGCCCAAATAAAACTTCATAAGGCGTATAAGTTGTAATGGAATGCGGGGTGGTGTTATAAGCAAAACATGCGAATGGAAGTAACTCATCCCATTCCTGTTTCTCACTCACATAACTTCTGAGATACGTCACTAGGGACGCGTGGGCACGTTCCAGTGCTCCATTACTTTCTGGGTGATAAGCGGTTGTTTCTATTTTTTCTATCCTCAGCAGCTTACACAACCGTTTAAAAAGGTCGGAACAAAAGTTTGCTCCTTGGTCTGTTAAAATCATAGAAGGAATACCAAATATTAACACTACACTTTTCATTAATTTGTCAGCTATCTCTTCACTCGTTTGACCTTTTAACGGGACGGCTATTAAATACTTGCTAAGGTTATCTTGGCATGTCAAGATATATTTGTTTCCGTCCGTTGTCAAATTCAGGGGACCCACTATGTCTAATGCTATCTTGTCCCACGGGTTATCCTGAGTATCAGTTATTTGAAGGGGTTGTGCTGTCACTTTTCCCATTTTCATCTGTTGACACACTTTACAACTTTTAATATAATCTCTAACTTCTTTTTCCATACCTTCCCACTGCAGGTATAATTTTATCCGCTCAAGAGTTCTCGAAATACCTTGGTGTCCGCCTACGGGGCAATCGTGCATTTCACGCATGATTTTCAATTTTCTGTCTTTCTCTATCTCAACTGGGGGACACACATCTTTTAATTCGCTTAGGTTTATCTCTGGATATCGGCTTAAACTGTCGGCGTTGACGTTTTGTTTGCCCGGTTTATATATAACCTCAAAGTCATACTCTTCTAATAATAATCGCCATCTAAGGAGTCTCGAACTCGGGTCTTTCACTCGAAAAATCCAAGTTAATCCCTTATGGTCAGTCAAAACTTGAAACCTTCGACCAATTAAGTATGGTCTGAAGTGCTTGCATGCCCACACTATTGCAAGCAATTCTTTTTCAACAGTGCTGTAATTAAGTTCAGCGTCATTAAATGTCCTACTAGCGAACGCGACAGGCAAGTCTCGGCCTATCTTGCCTTGGCTTAACACGGCGCCAATGGCATAGCCACTTGCGTCTGTTGTTAAAAGAAATGGTTTTTCAAAATCTGGATACTGCAACACTGGCGATGTAATTAGTTTTGATTTTAAAATTTCAAAACTATTCTGCTCTTTTTCTGACCATCTCCATGGAATTTCCTTCTTTAGCAATTCAGTAAGTGGTTTTGCCAAAGCAGAAAATTTGTCAATAAATTTTCTATAGTAACCAGCCAAGCCTAAGAATGATTTAACAGCTGTTTGATTCTTAGGAGTAGGAAAATTTACAACACTAGAAATTTTCTTTGGGTCTGGTTTAATACCTTCAGCCGTAATTACATGTCCTAAATAATTTAATTCTGGCTTAAGAAATTCACATTTGTCTGGTTCTATTTTAATGTTCCACTTTCTCAAATGCGAAAATACCTCTTTTAATTTTGCATTATGTTCGGAAAGGGTTTCTCCCATCACAATTATGTCATCCATGTATACCATACATTTTTCACCTAACGAATCCCTAAGCACCGCATTCATCATCCTCTGATAAGTGGCTGGTGCCGCTTTTAATCCAAAAGGCATTCGTGTATATTCATAATGTCCATCGGGAGTGGAAAAGGCAGTTTTACATATGTCTTCAGGTTTTATAGGAACTTGAAGATATCCACTCGCACAATCAAGCGCAGAAAAATACCTAGCTCTTCCGACTTTATCCAATATGTCTTGAATATTTGGCAAGGGAAAACTATCCCCAATTGTGATATGGTTTAACCTTCGAAAGTCAATACATATCCTCCATTTCTTTTTATTTGAAGCATCAAGTTTTTTTTGTACAACCAAGAGTGGAAAGTTCCATTCACTCTTACTCGGTCGTATGATACCGTCATCTAACATTTGCGCTACCTGATTCTTAATTTCGTCTCTATGTGCCTCTGCTAGTCTATAATTCTTTAGGGTAATGCATCTCCCTTCTGGAATGGAGGGTGTAGGGATGGAATGTTGTGCTGCTGTGGTTGCGGTCAACTTGTCTCCCGGGAGACGAAATATGTCAACAAACTCATGACAGATTTCTTTAATGTCTTCCCTTCCTTCTGGGATATGACTCAACCTTAAATTTTCATCTAGTAATTTTGTTCTATCTTTTACATTCTTTACTTGCTCCGTCTCTATTCTCGGAGGTTTAGTCAAAACAGGAAATCGCTCTATTACCTGCTCTGTATGGGTCGTGTTTACTATAAGACACGTCATCTGTCCGTTAACACATTCTGTAAGACATCTGGCTACAAAAACACCACCTTGTATTTCTTGACTATCTAGAAACCTAACACCTTTTTCTCTTGTTGGAAGCTGAACAACCTTTTCTGAAAAAGCAGGTATAACTTCTCTTTTAACAATAAAATGGTTCTTCATCAACCAATCTTGTCCCAAAATTAAATCTAACTGTCTAGGCAGTTTGTCGACTACATAAAACAAATGATGACCATTATCATTAACATCAATATCGACTTCTCCGTCGATATTCATTCTATTACCTCTAAACTTATTAAACTTAGTTCTCGGCTCCGGCCCACTTGACCTCGGCTCGATATCAATATCAACTTCTCCGCTGATATTCATTGCATTACCAGTAATCCCACTTATTTTAAACAAATCATTATTTCTCGGCTTGGATCTGGGATGTAACGCAGCCCTAGCAATGAGTGATACCTGCGCGCCTGTATCAATCAATGCCACCCCTATTCCTGTTCGGAGATGCGAACTGGTTACGAAAATCTCATAAGGACCCAGGGGACATCCTTCCTTTTGATTCTCAATTTTCGAAACCTCACCCATCCTCCTCGTGGGTGATTCCGAGGAACCCTCGGCTAGCACAAGGGACCCCACACCTACCTCACTGACCTTCGAATGGTACCAGTGGGTAGTCGATGCTAGCACCTTTTCTAAATTCAACAGGCTACCCTCTTTGAGACAGTCAAAATTATTCACATAAAACTCATCATTAACAACAGGATCCACTTGTGACTGCCCTTCAAATGGTCCTACACACAGTTTCCCTGGAACAGGGTGCCTTTATCATTTGGATTACTGTTCACTTTCCCCCTAGATCCAGCCCTCGACGGAAAAAATCCGCCACCGCTTCCATCTCTTGGATAGCGTAATTGCGATGGAACTCTGCCATCTAACCTTGCTCTACAATCGCGAGTTTCATGACCTTTACGTTTACATCTTTCACATGTAACACTTTGCTTACACTGTTTCATTAAGTGCCCTGCTTGATTACAAAGAAAACATTTTCTACCGTCAGTCACGGCCATAATTTCCTGCTTAATCTTTGGTTGGGGAACCTGCCATTGACCTCTTGATTGCCCAGGTGTTGAACCTGTCAACCAATTCTGATTAGAACGAAATCTTTGCGATTTAAGTTCACTTTCCTCGTTCGAGGCAGTTTCAATCAATTGGAGTAGGGTGGCATCATCGCTCCTTCTACTCTTTACTAGATATTTAATTTTATCATCCTTTAAGCCATTCACGAATGTACCTTTCAATAGTTCATTAATAACATCATTACCTCCTCTCAGGTAACTTAATTGATCTAATGTACGATCATCTTGGCTTAAGTTTATCAATTTACTTTTTACCTCAAAACTAAGTTCTCTGGCAATATTGAGTAATCTATTGCTCCATTCCGTGACTGACTCACTTTGAAATTGTCTGGCTGTGAACAAGATTCCGGCTGTATAATCTAATGTACGCTTTGTAGTGTAATTCTCCTCCAAAGCTTTCTTAATATCTGCCCACGTATCAATAATTCTGTTATTCAATTTAAACTTTGCATCACCCACAATGTGTGCAAGAATACATTTAGCAAACGACGCTTTTCTTACTTCATGCAACATTTCCAATGTTGATTCAACAGTTAAAATAAAATTGCGAACCTCTTTAGGGTTCCCATCAAAAGTTGGCAGTAACTTCTCGGCATGAGTTACTGTCCAGTATTCTCCTATTCTCTCTGCCTCCGTGGCATCTCTCATTAATTGCCTAGCTTGTTCATCAGCCATTTTTAAACAATTCCTCTAAAACTTATTATTAAGCCTCCACAATTGTTAACTATTAAAGGGTCTTGACTAACCTTACAAGAGGGAAGGGTGTCCAAAGCTCTGTAGTTCGTCCGGTAGTGATGGAGGACGGTGCCCCGTCCTCTCCCCAGAGGGTGCCGGAGTCTTGCGACAGAAGCTGCGACCAGACTGCCAGTAGTTCGTGCCTCGGCGTCCCTACTGCGTTGATGGAAGCCAATGGACACAGGACTTTGTTGCACGTTCTGCTGGAGTAGCTAGCTGCGATCTCGCGTTGTCGGTGTCAGGACCCACCGTTGATGTTGGATGACGTTCGATCCTCACCAGCCCCAGTTACTAGCACACAGTTTTTCAGTGATTGGATTAGAAGAAGATTCTCCTCGAAGAAGCGTCTTCCCTTCAGGTGTTGTCGTCACTCCTCCTGGTCTCGAAGGTGATCAGTCTTCTTGACGAGTTCGTTCACAATGACAATTTCAGCTTGTCTTGGCAAGATCCCGATTCGCTGCCACCATGTTGTATGGTTGGACGTGCAAGACAAAGTGGTAGGTGGACGGAGCAGTCTTGTCGTTCCATACAAACAAATTTAGATCTCTTGCGAGTATGTCCGAAAATTACGTGGATCGCCGGTAGTTGTGTGTTTTACCGGATTGCCAGGAATTGCATGTGACGAACAGGATGTGGAGTGGTGTGAAGTCCAATCGAAGTTAAAAGAAACTCAAAGTCCATCTGGTAGATAGGATAGGTTTATTAAGTGAATCGAACAGACGACTTACACCACTGGCTGCTCTCTGTCGACTATCCCAGTCAGGAGTTAAAAAATGTCTTGGCTCAAAGGAAGGTGGTGTGTATCCCACTCCGTTGACCCAGCCATAAGCACAAAAACTAAGAACATCTACCTCCCTCTCCTTTAGTGAGGGCTGCTCACTAAAGCTTCTTTTTTACACTGTGGAAGGGCTGTCAGGTTTATGGCTGTGCGTGATTTTACTCTGCAGCCATACCCAATACTAATAAATTATCCTGTGGCATGTTAAAAGTCGTGGCTATCGCTCGGTCTTGACAGCTAAAAATAACAGGAGGGCTTGTTGCTTTGTCCCTATGACATCCTAAAATAAGAGAGGGTTCTGTTCCTTATGACACCTGTGCTTAATTAGGTACCGAGCCATGACCTCGAAGTCGAGGTATAGCCTCATTCTTGAAGTCGGCACTAGATGAAAGTGAGTGGTCAACTTCACTTTACCTCTGGGGAAAGAGCATTTTACACATTGGATAGGAGGCTTGGTGAGTCCCAAAGCCGGTCTGGATGCCGTGGAGCAAAGAAAAATATCTTTCCTCTGCCGGAAATCGAACACCAGTCATCAAGGCCGAAGTTGGTCTCTGTACTGACCGAATTATCCTGGCTCCACACCCGCGGGACATATTACAAATAAGAAAATTCTTTCCAGTACATCGATACAGTGGTTTCAAGGCTGGCTGGCAGACCGCTGTTGTGCTTTGAAACTCCCCATACACACACACACACCAACACGAATGGCGCGCCACACTGGAGCAAAGCTTGGAGTAGTTCTGAGGGACGGAGGGTGGAGGGGGGGAAGAGGCCATAACAAAACATTCTGCGTCAAATTTAGAAGAAATAATTCCTTTTAAACTAAAAAACTGAACTCCGTGGCCTGTAGCCCGCAAGCACACTATACCGATCGAGCGACCACCGCTTGTCGGCGAAGTTAGTGACAATTTTTTCGGTTAGAGGGTATCACGTGGTCAGCACAATGGATCTCCACGGCCGTTAATCTCGAGTTTCTAGACCGAAGCCGCCATTTCCTGGAAATAGCGCCTCAATTATCCTCACGAGCCTGAGTGGATCCCTTTCCAGACCATCTACTCCTCAGAAAATCTAATAGCGCCGGGAATTGAACCCAGGACTCCGGAGCAGTAGCCAGGAACTCTGATCACTAGACCACAGAGGCGGCCAAATAATTCCTTTTATTTGCAATTAATCATTTCTTTTGTAAGGAGAGATGAATTAATGCTCCGATTGGTATTCAAATCCTCGGCCACGATATTCACAAGGAGCTTAAACAAGATTTAGTGCAAAAAAATGTGAAACAGTTCTATGCAAGGCTGGAATATATAAATTACCGGAGCTGCGTAACTACTGGTAAGAGCAAGTTATCCGGTTATTATATAAACGAGTGTAGCTACTCGCATTACAGAACAAGAGTTACAATATAATGAGGGCTGAGTATGTAATTCCAGTTGTGAAAGCTGAAGGTAAACGACTACTGAAGACAACTAGGCGTAGAGGGGTAGGGTGTGTGAGTGTGGACTGGATTCATCTGCCTCAGTTAGTGTCCTGTTATGGGATCATGGACATGGTGATGAATCTTTGGGTTCCATAAAAGACAGGGAAATTCATGACCAATGAACTACTATTAGCTTCTATAGGACTGTTCGATGGAGTTAACTAAAGAGAAGCAAGACGAAGCGGTATTTTCATGGTAGACCCATAGGCTTAGCAGATTTGCCTACCGCAGAATCGCTGACTTCTGTCGTGGTAGTTCTGTAGTCGTCTTCCGGGGGCATCCCACGAGCACCTTCGTCTCCCGCTGTACGACACAGACAGAAATTTGGGTGGATTTGAGATGTTCACAGCAGTAACTAAAGAGTCTTAGAATGTGAAGCCGTGTAATCCGGAAGGGCCCCATCGATATTTCGGAAGAAGGTACTGCCTCCATCTTCAGGATCAAAGATATGACATAAAAACTAGCAAAGAAACAAGCAGCAAAGTGAGTGACCCATCTCAGCCTACTTGGCATAGCTTCGACCCTTGATTCCTGTGGCACCACATGCCTCCGAAACATCGGCGAAATTCTGCCGGAATAAACAGTGTTACATCCCAAAAGACGGTACATTTTAACTAGTACGTTCTTTGCAGCAGTTTGCCTTATGTTACTGCAGTTTTAGTATTGTGTGTGCTGCAGCTATTACGGGGTACATAACGAGAGTAAACAGAACATGTTCATTTGACACGCTTCAATAAGCTTCTTTCTTTACGAATATACGTATGGAGCTTCCGTGGTTATTTTGGTAGAGCTTCTTATAAGTAATAGGAATTACTCGTGTAGTAAGCATTATATTTTATATTACCCTAAGTCTTGTATCTCAAGCAGTGTAATGGCTATGCTGTGAGCTAGAGTAGCAATGAATCGGGGTTCGATTCACGACAGTGCACAGCAAGCAGATCGGCACACCCAACCTCTTAGCTAGTGCTTACCGGGGGGCTTAGAGAACTTCTTCCTAGGAATGCTCATCAAAATAAGACCGAAGAGGAGATACTGAACTGTAAAGTTCATTCGCTGTTACAGCCGATCTTGAAGTAATCTTCACAGTTATATATGATTGGCCGAGAAGAAATTAGTATATTTCCGAAACGGTTACAGATAGAAACATCAAGCAGCTTGAAAACAGCATGGAAACTCATACAGTTTATCTGGAAGTGTTCGATACGAGCTCCATTACTTACTCTGCAAACATAAAGGCAATATTCGAATTTTTTCCATGTACACCATAACTGTGCCTCATCCACGTTGACTATGATGTCTCAAATTCGTCATCGACGCTATCGAAGGTACTATGGGATCGGAGATTGGCGTGACTTTTATTTGAGATCTCCCCATATGAAAAATTCTCACTGCCTAGGGCCCGGGGATCTAGAAAGCCAAGCCATGGGTCCTGCCCGCCCTGTCAAAGCTTTCTGCACTTAAGACTCCATTTTCATTTGACATGGATGACATGTAAACTTTAATGACTTTCCCGCTGTTTTCAAGTTGTTTCATGTTTGTATCTGTAACCGTAACCGTCTCGAAAATACTATCACCAATAATTTTATAGCTATGCATAACAAACAAGCAGGAGTTATGCTTTGGCTTGGTAAGCAAAGCAGACGATCGGCTTACAGAGAACTGGATGTTGTAACGTAAAGATTGCCAACAATGGCAGTGTCAGAGAATGGTTCTGGATAAGTTACAGGAAGGGCCCATATAATCGCGCACCCTGAGCTCGGAGAAATCCTTCAGAGTATTGAGTTTCCATGGAAAATCTGTACATAATTATAAATGTAATTATAATTACCTTCTTATTTTAGAAATTAAGGCATTAATGCATAAGTTACAGATAAAGGGTGTTCCCGACCGTTTCTGAAACTGTCGTGAAGGATGTCTTTCGTCCTGACTGAAGTCTTTCGTGGTTTTCCTCGATCCCTCCACGCAAACTTCGGGATAGCAGTTCGAGTATGCAATATCCCAAATCTTTTCAAATTCATCATTCACCAGTCACTATGCCATTCGATTCTATGCAGTCTGAGGTGTTCACAACTTCGTGAATAAACTAAAAAAGTTAATTACTGCTATTGGAAAGCGACAATCAAAACTTGATTCACGAGGAAATTAAGAGGATCCCGGGTCTGGTCAGTTGGGATTTGTGGTGGACAAAGTGGCGCTGGGGCAGGTTTTCTCCGAGTACTTCGGTTCCCCCTGCCAATTTTCATTCCACCAATTGCTCCACAATCACCCTCACCTATCATCTGGGGCTGGTACAAAAGGCCAGAAGTGGCCGCAGTACAAGAGACTTAGTCCCACCCCACTAGCAATAAAAAAAATTAAGAGGAGACTGAACTCGGGTAATGCTTACTACCATTCAGTCCAGAACCTTTCGTCTTCTCGTCTACAGTCTAAAAACATAATAATTAGAATATACAAAACTAAGATTTTGCCTGTGGTTCTATTTGTGTGTGAAATTTGGTCTCTTGACATTGAGAGAGGCACACAGACTGAGGGTGTTTGAGAGCAGGGCGTTATGGATAACACTTCGACTGAAGACAGATGAAGTGGCAGGAGGTTGGAGAAAACTGCATAAGGAGCTTCACAGTTTGTACTCTTCGCAAAATTATCATGTCAAGGAGGATGAGATGGGCAGAGCATGTAGCAAGCATGGGGGAGAAGAGAACTGCATATAGGATATTGGTGGGAAAGTCAAAAGGAAAGAGACCACTAGGAAGACCAAGACGTAGATGGGTGGATAACATTAACTGGATCTTAGAGAAACAGAATGAGGAGTATGGACTGGATCGATCTGGCTCAGGATAGGGACCAGTGGAGGGCTCTTGTGAACATGGTAATGAGCCTTCGGGTTCCATAAAATTCTGGAAGTTCTTGAGTAGCTGCACAATTTGCGGCTTCTGAAGATCTTAGCTTGAAGTCGGTCGGTCAGTTAAAATGATGGGAAAAGATGCAATGGAAGAAATTGAAAATGTTCCATTTTCAAACAGTAAGATAAATACACGTACTGATGACACGTCACATGATGCAAAAGAGTTTTGCGTTATAAACGGAAAAATAAAAGTTACATCCACCAGTCGGTGTGAAGCGCATAGCCGTTTAAGTGAGTAAAATTCCTCCCTGTAGAATTCATTCTTAATTTTAGTTTAAAAATAACACGGTCTTAGACGATATTTTTGTTCATATTTCTCTAATAATTTATCATACGGTTTGAGTAATCTTACTCTTCAGCATTGTCAGGTTGTAAGAAGCATTAACTGAGATCATTTCACAGCCTTTATTTACAGAGCCTAGCTTTATAACAACTCTGATGCATCCGTTTCCTGACACTTGAACATTATTTCAAGGGTTCCTCCAACATAAAAGTGAGAAAGGCTGCACTGTACACACTTGTACGCAGCACTTCCAAGTCTGGAGATTAAACGATAGCCTGATTACTACAATGCTTCATTATTTCAGCCGAGATGCCACTTGCTGCCTCACACAGAGTAGGGCCAGAGGTCATTAATACAACTGACCTCTACAGATAAGTTCATATAGAGCCGGCAGCATGCGCTTTGGTTTTTACTGTCCTAACAACAACAAGCGAACTTAGGCGTTTAAAGCCGTGTAGTTGGATTCATGGATGCCAACGTTTCGGAGGAACCTGCTGTCTCCATCTTCCTCCACTCTGAAAATGTAAGGAAATAGCTTCCTCTGGAACCCATTAGCCAGACACACGGCGTCACACTCCAGAAGACTATGATCTTCAGTCACCGCAGTGAGAACCTTAGCTCTGACGTACATAAATAAATAAACAAACAAAATAAGTTAAGGTTAAGGTATTCCTGTAACAGGCCGTGCAGGCCCATAGGGCTATGAGACATCGAGGCTCCCACACTTTCTCATAGATGGCAGGAAGGTTGTCAGTCTTACGCACTGGCCACCCTTTACCCCCCACCCCCGGGAAGATTCCCGGTACTAATTTCTGTTAGAGGCTGAGACACCCCAGGGCCATAGTGCGGCTGGAACTATTGGAAAAAATCCACCTCGTCGGGACTTGAACCCGCGACCTTCCGGCTTGTGGCATAGTGCCTCGATCAACTACGTTACAATAAACAAGTAATTCCGTCTTCTTAACGATTCGATGCAGACTGCTAACGAGACCGTATAATTCCTTCTCTGAGGCATCTTAGGTTTTCACAGCAATGACTAAGTAGTTTTGTACTGCCTGTTGGGATATGATCCACATGTAGTGTGGCAGTCCATTACAAGCGTTTCCGAGGAACTTTCTTCCTTCACTTTAGTGTACTACCCTGTTGATGGAGACAGCACGTTTCTCCGAAACGCTGGTAACAATTTCAACAGACTGCAAGGCCTAAAATCCCTGCAGCTCACAATCTACATAGCCACAGCCTCGAGAATCAGAAGTCGGTCACAGGAGAAGTCCTGTTTCTGCTTGGCAAATCCCATCCGGTGGGAGGTGAGGTTCAGTGTGAAGATAAGTCTGTCCTCAGCAACGGCGGTAAGGCTCTACCAGATTCCATGGCGCCATATCTCAGCAGACTGTAATCTATATAGTCACTGCCGAGGACCTCAAAATTTTCAGAGAATGAATTATTTTGTCACTTTAGGGAATTTCAATGGCGCCTTAAGAAGAGAATAGAAGTCCTCACGGATGTCAGTGTGGAAATCCGTGTTCTCCGAAACAATCTGATAAGACTAAACGGTGTCGAATCCTAGGAGATCAATAACTCCTTTGCTCTTCAGTTTTGGTCTGCTTTCATGTCTGTTATCTTCACATTCGCCGCCACCTAGCGAGAGGTCTTCAAATCCCAGTAAGCGCCCTGTCAAATTTACTAAGTTACGCTTGTTTAACATTCTCAACCCTCCATTTAAAAAGCTGGGGGACATTTACGCAGACTTTCTTCCCATTTTCCGCGTAATAACCTTCCGTATTTATTCTTCTCGTTCGCTTTCTTTAAGTCTTAAATTCAGTGTTGCTTGAACAATGATTGGTTTTACGCAATAATTATTAACAACCTCAACAGTATCTGGAACTACCAGTGTGAGAGCATAATTAAACAGGCTATAAACAAATAATATTTACCGGTGCAACAAGTAGTCAAACAGTTCAGTATTCAATCACATTTGCGCATCTGCTGTTACTTACTGATAAGTATAAATTCATCAATTATGTTATCAGTGACATTGACCTATTAAATACTTATACTTTGAGCATCAGCATCTAACCACCAAGTTAATGTGATAATCAAGCTTATAATTGCGGGCTTTATTTAGAAATGTTAATCGCGAAGACAAGGTGTAACCTCTAATCATCCCTGATATTTGATTCTACCGTATCTAACCGATTCTAACGCTCTAATCTCCAGACTTATTAATTACTCGGGCAGCTAAAGGTTAATTCATATTTTCACCTCACATTGCTGAATTCTTCTGGGATGTGACGTCGGATGACAGAACGCTGATGGTACAGGCAATATTCCTCCGAAACTTTGCTATCTATTTATCAAACTTCACGATGTCATCTAGTTACTATAGGATTCTGACGATGTTGTATGACACACAGAGATATTGGGTTCTCGGACTTTATCCATCGTCCTGGTTTTTAAGATAACTAATAAAAACACGACGTTTTGTGACATCGGTTTGTCCAGTGATTGAGGCTAGCTCTTTCTAACGGACCCAGCAGAATAGGTGTTTTCCTTCACCTGAGGACGGAAACAGATCCAGTTTCCGAAACGTCGTGTTTTTATTAGTTATCTTAAAAACCAGGACGATGGATAAAGTCCGAAAACCCAATATATCAGTGTGCACGATGTCATATTCCACATGTTGGTAATCTTTATTTATGCTAACCAGCTCTGATTCCATTCTAATTATTTACGTACTACGCATGCTTTCTAATGCCAAAACAAACTTAACCTGACCGCCTGGCTATAAAGTCCGGTTGCCTTCTCCATATTTCGGGTTGTTGGCTGCAACATAAAGTAGAAGCTACAAGTATTATGTTTTTGGACATTATCCATCGTCTTGTCTATTTTTTAAAACACGTTTCAGAGACTGGATTCTGTTGGGTCCAATAGACAGAGCTAGCATCTATCTCCGGACAAACTTTTACATCTCATTAACATAAAGTAGGCTACATAAGTATTCTGAAATGTTGCTGGAAATAGGTCACATTTGTGGTTATGTCTACTCTTCTAATTGGTCCATGCCCACACAAAATTACTAATGGGGCTCAGTCTGCTACTAGTATTCACGCATTATTCCTCCAATCTGTCAATCACAGTTTTTACAGTCCTCATTATACGGCCAATCGCCGTGTAAACACACTGCATTCTATAGTTTTTCCAAACGTGATTCCAGGCGCCGAAAATTCTAGCAGAAAGGACTCTCTGGGACAATACATAAAACAGCTTACAATGTTCTACTTACAGTTCCTTTATATTCAGCAACAAACGAACTACTAGTTAGTTCCGAGCCTTGCACGTGTCCTGAATCACTCGTCTGCAAATGTAGCTCCAAATGCGGGAACAAGATATGAGGCAGCTACCCCACTAGCGTCCAGCCACGAGGTCTAATGACAACTGACAAGTTCGGCCGGCGTACACAGCGGCTTAAACATCAAGGACGTTCCCTGCCATCTACTGACAACCTTCATTTTTAACCTTCAGGTATGGAACAAAGTCCAAAAATGCTGTATTTTTGCTCCTAGTACGCTGTCTTTGATTCCATCCAGAGGCAAGTATTACATATAACAATATCCTTGAATCGTGCAGACCTACGAAACCGGTTAGGCTAATTAATAGGTGTTTAAACGAAACCAGTAATAAAGTCTACACGGGTAAACATTTGCCCTACGAATTTCCAATTCAGACTGACTTTGTATATAAAAATAGATGCTTCATACGCCGTTTATTTGTATAATCTTTCATTAGGAAGGTCCAAGAAAACCACGAGGGACTGAAATTGGTTAGGACATGTCAGCTTTTAGCCTGTGTCGACAATGAATTATTTGACGAAAATACATACGTCACAAGGAAAAAAAAAACATAAGTTTTGTTCGACGCTGGTAAGGAGGATGGTCTAGAAGCAAGCGCAGGGAAAACAAAGTGTAATCTTACATTACCAGAATGCAGGATGAAACCTCAGCATGGATGTAGTGAAAAGATCATTTGAAAACGTGGTAAAGTTCAAATATTTAGGAACGACACTAATAAATAAGAAGTGCCTTATATCGAATGTAAGGGGTTCTAACGATGGTGTTTTACACTGGAGGTTACTGAGATTCTGGACTTTTTCCGTCGCATAATATTCTAAAGGAACACAGTAGATCCAGTTTCTGAGAGAGTATTAGACGATGGACGAAGTCCAGACACTCAGTAATCCCCAGGAAAATCGAATTACATTCCCGAATAAATTAAGGGTAGAATAAATTCGTGGAATGCTTGCTGCCATTCAGTTCAGAACCTTCTGTCTTTCCACCTGTTACCTAAGAATCTGATGACGTGTATATCCATTGCTAGGCAACGGGTCGGTAAACGCATTGCCGCAGAAGCAAACGCGCGGAACAATAGGACGTATATTGCTAGTAACGGACCAGTAAACACGAATCTTGACAATAGAAGATGGTGTTTTCCGTGGAGTTCGTGGAAAGTAATTGTAAGAAGTGTGCGGCAGGGCAGAAGTAGTACAAGCAAAGAAGACAGAGTACAACGGAGAACAGAACAGCAGTCGACAACAGTCGAGTCGAGTCTGCAGAATTGGCAGCTGGGGAAATGGCAAGGAAGGAATTAGGCTGTGTCAAGAAGACTTCATGTGTGAGTTGAAGTTACAGCGAGATTGTGATAAGTCCGTTGCCAGGATACGACTAGTGAAGCCAGAGAATCCTAGTGCTTGTGCAACGGTGAACTGAAAGTGTATAGAACAGCGATAGCGCTGCAATTACCTGTAGTCTTGAACCGTGTGAATATATAAGGTGCAGTAAATCCAATCATCCAGCCAAAACCCCGTCTTATAAGTCACGCACCCTTCAAATCGCGGGAATATGAATAACAGAATTGAAAGAACTGCAATTAATGTTGTATTCTTGTATGAATGTGAAATTTGATCTTTCACATTAAGGCTGGAACATAGACTGAGGGTGGCCGCGCCATAGCTCAAGCGGTTAGTCGCTGGCTTCCCACCGCGGCGGCCCTGGTTCGGTCCCGGGTATGGTCAAGTGGGATTTGTCGTGGACAAAGTGGCGCTGGGGCGGGTTTTCTCCGAGTACTTCGGTTTCCCCTGCCAATCTTCATTTTACCAAATTCTCCATCATCATAATCACCCGGGGTGGGCCAATCAGTGGCCGCCGTGCCGTGTGGACCCAGTTGGACTCCACCCCCACCATGCGAATTAATTAAATTAGACTGAGGGTGTTTAGAGAAAGTGTATAAAGGTAAAGCTATCCCTGTAACAGTCCATGGAGGCCCACAGGGTTTTGGGACGTCAAGACTGCCACATTTTCTAGACAATCCGCTTACAGATTGACCTAACCCTTCCAGCCGCACTATGGGCCTGGAGTCGACTCAGTCTCTAACAGAAATGAGTGCTAAGAATCTTAAAAAAGTGTGAGGTAGAAAAACAGGCAAAGCTATCCCTGTAACAGGCCGTGGAGGGCCATATGGTTGTGAGTATGGTTGCCAGATTTTGTAAAATAAAAAAAAGGAGTGATGTCCCGTTGCTTGTTTATAACGACATTTTTCACAACTAATAGGCTATAAAATATACGTAATCAACATACTACATAACTTACAAAATGCTACTACACATCTGTATTACATAGGCCTACTACACATTTATAGAACAAAACAAATATTATGTAGCCCTATTACATATTTATAGAATGCACAAAATATTACCTAGCACACATTTGTAGAACACACAAATATTAAATACTACATATTTATAACTTTCAGGGGCTGGTCGATCAGATTCTGTTAATTGTATTTCACTGAACTCTTAGTACTTCTTAATAATTGAACATCACCCTTTGAAAATTTATAAAATTCTGAACAGGACTTGCTTTCATAGTTCACTGTCACCTGGAGTTCTGCCTTCATTAAATCTGTTGAGCATCTGTTTCTTGTGTCACTCCACTTACTTTTCATGAATGAAAAGATTTGCTCCACAAAAGCATTTGAGCCAGGGATGCTAAACAAAAATCCTACCACTTTGGAAATATTTGGTACATCATGCTCAGGTACTGAAGAAAATATATAAGCCAGTTTGCTACATAATCACCATATCTGTTCACACTGTTGCAGAGGTAATTTCGATGGCTGCTGAACTCCTCATACAGGTCATCAATGCAAACATTTTCACTTAGCTGAAACACTTCTATGGTTTTTTTCAAAATCTTTGAACTCAATCCCTTCCTGTAGAGAAAATGCTGCAAGGGATGCATAGGGATTGTCATCTGTCACATCATATCTTTTTTTGCAGATACTGAAGCATATTGCTAAAAAAGCTGTTAAGGTCTTCAGTAACCTTTTTCTGTAATGGCATAGAGAATCCATTAATGAATTCTTTTGCTTTGCTACCAAAAAAGTTGTCTTTCCTTCTCTGCTGGATTTTAGAACTGAGAAGTTTCATTTGTTTGTAAGTCTCTAGTACACTTAAGTCAGACCTTTCCAGTGTTTTATCTACCATTTCCAGCTGACTTCCAATATTACTTAAGAAATTTAAGTAGATTTCAGGCAACACTGCTTCCTCTGGGCCATCTTTCATGAAAATGTTAGCTAATAATTTTGGACAGTTAAAAATACTGCTGAAGTAACTTTTCATTGCTTCCCAGTTCTGAAGCAGTTGAGAAGTGACTGGTGTTAATGACAGCCCCCCAGTTGGAACATGCATCAAAATCTCAGTCCACTCCAAATTCAGAAACTCAAAGAATGATTTTAACTCTTCTCTTCTTTTGGCAGAGACAGAGAAGTGATCTTTAAGACTACACTTTCAACATCAACATCTAATCTGTCAATTGCAAACTTAATTGTGTTATGTATGACATGATTAGAGCAATCAGCTTTCAGTAAAGTTGGGTTTTTACTTCGCAGCAACTGATATACGGAATGTGTTTTTCCATAGTTCACATTGGCACTGTCTGCACAATAAGAAGACACATAATTTACATCCAAGCTGTGCTTTTCTAAGCTCTGCAGCACCAAACCAGTAATTGCCGTAGAAGTTTCCTCAGCACTTTCAGCAAAATCTAGTTTATTCTGCACTCTCTTTAAAGGGTCGAAGTACAGGATGCAAACAGGGAACATTTTTTGATTGCTTCTGTTTGATTCATTGGTAGCCAACGAAAATATTTTGAAGTATTTTCTGGACATCTTAAAATAGACACAAAGTCATTTACACTTTTAGGAGCAAGAACGTACTTCACTATCATTTCCGCTTTAGTGCGTCCACATGAAAGTTTGGAAGCAACGTCGGAATCACTGAAAATATGGGACACAAGTTTATTTCCGCAGTCCAGCCTGGAATAACTTAAGTTGTGTTTCACTGCATGATACACTAAACCAAGTTCTCACGCTGTGCTGTTGTCATATTCTTCTTTATTGTTTAAATTAACAAAGTATTTCGAAAGTTTATTTGAACTTCCAGAATTACATTTTTCCTTAATTTTATGTCCCTTGTATTGTGCATGTTGCCTCAGGTCACTTTGTCGACCGTGCGAAATACTAAAATCCTTCCTACACAACGTACAAAATGCCCGGTTCTCATCTGGTCCCGGCTTAACCCACGAAAACATATCTTCCCATTTCTTAAGACATATTTGATTATGTTTGCCCTGGAATTTCAACTTCTTCCGTGGAGGAGACTTTGATGGATCTTCTTCGCCCTCAAGCATTTTTGCTAACTTGACACTGACTTTCTAGCGAAGATTGAACGGATTAAAAATACACTATCACCAACGACCTCAGCTTTGGTTTAGAACCTCAAGTGTTGCTAACATTCACGAAATGAAACATAACGAAAGAAACTATAACAATGTCATTTTCCAAGGATTACAGAAATTTTATGATAATATTTAACCCATGAAATATACCGTATTTACGCATGTATAGGCCGCAGCACAATTTTCAGACAGAAATTATAGAAAAAATAATTTTCTTGGAATATTATTACTATTAGTATACTACTAGTATTACTAATTATGAATATAATTTTTTTAAATGAAGTGTGATTTCGAATATTTCGAATATAAGCCGCACCCCAGTTTTCCTCTTGAATTTTTGGCAAAAAAATGTGCGGCCTATACTTGCGTAAATACGGTAATGCGCAATGGCCTTAAATAAAAAAACGGAGAATTATCCACTCCGGGTAAACAATAAAGGGAGGAACAAAATTTGTGTGAAAACATGGAAGAATCCGGTGAAAACGGGGTATCTGGGAATCCTAGTTGTGAGACATTGCGGTTTCTACATTTTCTAAACAATCGGTACACAGATGGCGGCGAGGTTGTCACAGCCTTACGCGCCGGCCACCTTCTACCCCTAGAAAGATTCCTGGTACTAATTTCTGTTACGAGGCTGAGTCGACCCCAGGGCCATAGTGCGGCTGGAAGGACTAGGTCAATTGAAAAATCCAATGATTTCATCGGGAATCGAACCCGGGTACTTCCCGTTTGTAGCATAGTGCCTCAACCAACTACGCTACAGTG